ACATGATGATGCTACTTTTCTGGATAAACAATAAAAACTTCCCACTGAACATGGTTGGAAAAAATAAGAACCCCGTGTTTTTGAAATTTGGGGGTATGTGTGTGACTGTTTCATAGTCTAATCGATTCTTCCTCGTTAAATGCCCACTCTATATGGGTCAGCATTGAAGGGAGCACTGTTTGTTTCTTGGTGAGCTTATAGACTGAGTAGCATGAATGGTGGGTAAAAAGGAGAAAGGGGAATGTCATATACCTTCAGTTATTAGTCTGGATTGGGGGGTTGGAGGTGAGTTAAACGATGCAGAATTGGAATTCTAAAAATAATTAAGGAACCATTTAGTAAATTCCCTCCCACATATGACTTGGAAAAATGATGAACGACCCGGAGCAAGAAAATTTTTTCAGGCAGATCTTGAATAGTAAAGGATGCAATCACATCTGTAGAAATGATCATGCCCTGGGGGAGGGAGACTACTTTCTCAGCATTGCAAAAGCTCCTCTCTCTATTGTTCTTGTTTACAGATTACCTGCCTAGGCTGGTTGACTGAAACACGTAGAACAGATAAACTTGGTTAACAAACTATTTAACCATGCTAAGCCCAAAATTAGCCTGCCTGAACATTTTATTCCTAAGTCTAAGATGGTTTAAAGCAGTAAAGTTCATGTGTGTATGTAAGAGGCAAGTTAATTGTGTGTGTAAGAGGCAAGGGAATAAGAAACATCTAAACACCATTGTTAGAAGGGAAGGTGTAGGTTAACCTGGGCTCAAATAACTTCCTTCTAACCCATCAGTAGCACATTATCTAAGATTCTAAAGTGCTAAATTGGTCAGATAAGAGACTTGCTAAGATGTAGGATCCTCTGAACAATGAGGAAAGAAAATTGAAGTGAAAATTGCAATCTCCACCCACAAGAGACTTAAGTGAGATGAAGTGAAAAGTGTTTACAATGGAAGAAAAGAGGGAAAATGTGAAGAGGATGATATTTAATAATAAAGATAACACTGGAGACCCAGGAAGGAGGAAGATGACTGGGGAAAGGGCCAGCAAAGCCAAAGTCATAAAGCTCCACAGGGGTCTGGGCCTGGGGGTTGGGAAAGCTTAGAGGAGCTTATCAGAGTCAGCCGGGACTCTGCCGAACGCTGAGTGGACAACTGGTGCCAAGGCAGAAGCAGCAGATGTTTTTCTGGAAGAAGAATGGTGGAAGGATAGTCACGGGAAAACACTGTGCCCTGCAACAGGAGCTGTGTCTCACTGATCGCAGGACAAGAATGCACACAGGCAGACGTAGGGGCAACGCAGACGCTGTGCGCACAAGCTGGAGGTGTGGAGGACAGGAGAGAAGGGAAAGGGAAGGAAAGAGAGAAGGGAGGAAGGGAAAAACAGAGACACAGAAAGAGGCTAAAGAACATATCTCTTAGAGAACCATCTGTAAGGTAACCGGGACTACCAACTGGGAGAAATAAAACATAAAGAATGGGAAATCCTTCCCACCATGCAGTGAGTGAAATATGCGGGACCTGGAGCTAGAATGCGCGCGTTCAGACCCTCTCTGTCACCTCCTAGCTGTGTGACCCTGGACGGCTTACTTATAACCTCTTTGGCCTTTAGTTTCCTCATCTGTAAAGTGGGGCTAGCAGTTTCATCTCATGGGGTTGTTGTGAAAACTGAGTTTATTGAGTGAAAGAACTTAGAATATTGCCTGATATCCAGGAAACATCAATAAATGTTAGAAACTACTGTGATATCATGTGATCAGCTTCTGTGAGTGGCCCTGAGGTTTCCATAAGACTAGTTTATGCGGGTGCCTGGGTGGCTCAGTCGGTTAAGCGTCTGCCTTCGGCTCAGGTCATGATCCTGGGGTCCTGGGATCGAGCCCCGCATTGGGCTCTCTGCTCAGCAGGAAGCCTGCTTCTCCCTCTCCCTTTGTGCTCTCTCTCCCTCTCTTGCTCTCTCTCAAATAAATAAATAAAATCTTCAAATAAAAAAAGACTAGTTTATGATGGTTGGGCAGTATATACCTTGTCACATCAAAATTACAATTGTCCTTCTTAGGGCGGTTTGCAGGGCGGCTAAATGTGGGTTAAACAAAGGATGATGATAACATTTTATGAGGTTTACAACTGCTTTCGACAGGTCACTTACTCCCACCCACTGAGCCTTGGTTTCTATCTGTAAAATGGGGGTATGATACATACAAGACGTAAGCTTTCCGTGAGATGAACTGTGAAAGTGTCTAGAACAATGTCTGGAACACAGTAAGTTTCAAAACAGAGCGTGAATCCCCTTTGGTTGGTCATGGGCAGCAGGTTTAAAATACTCTCATTAGGGAGGGAGAGCCTAACTGTTCTCCCAGCTGCCTGTAGAGAGGCCTTGGTTTAGCTTCTCTTGTCAGCGCCTAGAAGAACTGATCTTTTAGGTCACACAGAAAACTGACATTTACCTTTCGCAGCTTATCTCAAGTGTGAACAGAAGAAAAATGACAGCCTGAGTCTTTAAAATGGGTGGTGATGGGAATATATTTTTATATATTTCCCATCAGTGGTGATGGGAATATATTTTTAACTCTTCCCTGCAGTTTTTCCTCTCTAAAAGAAGGGGCTTAAAGGAAAGGACCAAGAGGAAGCAGGTAAGAGTTTCTACACGACGGCTCCTGATGCTAATGTCACAGGAAATTTCTGCCCCCCTCCTGCCCAGGATACCAGCTGGCTTGCTGGTGGGCATCCTGCTATGGCTTTGACCACCTCACTGGGAAGCAGCTCTTTCTTATCCGGGTTGGACCTCTGGATGAATTTGGCTGAGGACATGCTCTCCCAAAGAGCCTCCTGGGAAGAGGGGCTCCATGATTCAGACCCCTCAGTATGGACCTCAACTTCAGTAGGCTTTCTCCACTTTGCACACCCCAAGACCTACTTCCTCTGTAACTCCAGGAAAAGAAAAGGCAAGAAACTGAACAGGTGGTGATTTTGCCCTTTCTCCTGAATATTCAGGTCTTTGCCACCACCAATAGCAGAAAACAAAGCTACAGATCTTTACCTCCATTCTTGGAGAAAACACTCCTTCTGGAGGAAGAGCATGGAAGAGCCAAGCACCCAGCCAGCTGACCACAGGGGCAAGTCCCAGCCAGGGCCTTCTTCAGAAATCCTTTCCTCCTTTTCTTTCCCATCTGTTCTGCCAGGGCTAACTGGGAAGCCCCTAGGGTGGTTTCCAATATAAGTCTTACAATGTCCAGGCTCCCTCCCCAGCAATCATTTATTAGAAAGAGGTTTTATGATACAAATTTGATAATCTCCCATGCACACTGGCACTGTTGTAATTGAAGTTGTAAGCCCATAAAATTCAAGCCCTTTGTCTTCCTGAAGGCCACAAGGTTTAAAAAGTTTTAAAAAGATACTATTGTCCTCTCTAACACCCACGACATTGTCACCAGGGACTGATTAAACAGAGTCCTGAATTGAAACAGTGCGGATTTTGTCTAGGTCCTTTTCAGGCCTGACAATGCCCTTTTCAGTTCCCAAGACAAAAGGAGGTTTAAGGATCGAGATTCTTCTGAGATAACCGCATCCATATGGAAGGCAAGGTGGCCAGCAGCTGAGACCCAAACACCCCACTCCTTTCCCCCTCTGTCCTCTCTCTCCCCACCCCCCAAAATTCCAGGTGATAACACAGCCTCAGCCACCCTACCTGGGGGCAGGGGAGAAAAGAGGGGAAGAAAACTAGGGTCTCAAACTGGCCCAGTGCCTACTCCTCACAGGCCTCACCGAGCCCTTGCTCCCTTCCCTGGATCCCATGCCTGAACCTACTCTCCTCAAGCACATCTCCTTGCAGTGGGCACCAGGGAGGCTGCTTGTCACTTCACCAAGAGGGGAAACACTTGCATAGGAAGCTCTGCAGCTCCGTATACCCAGGCGAAGGGCAGTTACAAATTCCAAGGGTGGAACCCTGGATCTCCGAGCTTAGAGTGTATCAGGACCGCGGGAGAAATGAGACCCACCAGCAGGTCCCACACCTATGTCGGCCCACCCTGGCTCTCCAAATTGGTCTTCCCGCAGCTGGCAGCCCGGAGGAGGGTCACTTCCCCACCACCCTTTGATTTCTTCATTGCGCTACCCTCCCTCTCCCCATTCCACTCCAGCCTTGTGTAGAGCTAAGAAGAGGGAGGAAATCACAGATGTCAAGCGAGGCACTCGCAGGCTTAATTGGGATTTACAAATTCTACGGGTGCTCGGGTGCTCCTCAGGTCCAGAAAAGGACAGCTTGCGACCAGGCCTGAGCTGCTCCAACGCAGTACGCTCTGCCCCCAGCCCAACTGGCCCGTCTCCAGAGAGTCCTTGTGGGGAAGCTTATTGTCTTATCCTGGCCAACTGGGTTGACTTTTGGTGTCTGAAACACCAGCAGCTTCGGGAGCCCAGAGGGGTCTCCAAGTCAGCTCCCGCCACCTCCCGCAGACAGGGATCCCAGGGTTTCCTTGGCTTTATCCCCGCACCTCCCTCCCTCCACCCCTTCCCCCAACATCTTCCTAGAGCTGCGTCGGGACTGAGACCTGCCCTTCCACCCAGCCCGGGGTGGGGAGAGTGGACTGGCGCCCTGAACTCCGGTCCGGAAAGCACAGCTTCCATCTACGTTCCCGGCAGGCGCTCAGGGGACCCAACCCTACACATTTTATTCTCGCACCACAAGGAGGAAAATATTCTATTTCTTTAAAAATAAGTTGCTTCCCATACAAATAGCTATTTTAAAATATACAAATAAGGTTTAAGCAATAAAAATCTAGCTCTGGGGCTGGCGGTCGAGGGAAGAGGAGAGGGGGAAATGCTGGCTGAAGTTCCCCGCTCAGCGGCTGGGGGAGCGCGGGGCAGGGGACCCCTGCGCCGAAGGAGATGGGGCCCGAAGAGAGGTGGGGCGGGGGGAACACTCCGGATCTCGGCTTCCAGCCCTGCTTCGGCCGCAGAGCCACTCCAAAGTCCGGGGTAGCCCGAGGTGCCCGCGCCCCGCAACGGCCTCACCAGTTCCAGGAGACCAGGGTTGGGGGCGCTAAGTGCTGGTAGGCGGGGAAGAGGCCGAGAGCCGAGCAAGGCCCGAAGGCGGCGTAGCCTGGCAGAGGGCAGCTGGCGGCCGGGGACGCGCCGCTCTTGTCCTGGGCGGAGGCCGTGCTTAGATCGCCGCTGCCGCAAGGCTGCCCGTCGCGCACCAGCACGGGGACCACCACGCGGCGCAGCAGGCCCGGGGCGGCGCGCAGCTCGGCAGCGGCTGCCAGGTCAGGCGACTCCACCGCCCCCGGCGCGCCGGGTGCGCGCGCGCGCTTCAGCTTATAGCGATGGTTCTGGAACCAGATTTTGACCTGTGTGGGCGTGAGGCGAAGCAGGCGCGCCAGCTGCTCGCGCTCGGGCGCGGACAGGTAGCGCTGCTGCCGAAAGCGTCGCTCCAACTCCAGCGTTTGCGCCTTGGAGAACAGCACCCGACGCTTCTTCCTCTTTTCAGCGTCTGAGCCGGGAGACACCGGCCGAGTGCACGGCCGCTGCGACGAGTCGGGAAGGCTGGTCTCCGGGCTGCTCTCGTCCGAGGCTAGGGGCGGCAAAGGAGACACGGCCTGATGAGACGCCGGCTGCTTCTCGCGCGCGCGCGTGGAACCACTGGCCGGAGGGCGCTGCCACTCGCCCGCGGCTTTAGGGCTGAGACCATTTCCTTCCCTGGGCCCGCATCTGGACACCCACCTCTCCAAATTCAGTGACCTCATTTATACCACAACCTGAGACCGCGCCTCCTAAGAAACTCACCAGGGCCCTCTTAAAGCAAGTCCACACTGGTCGCTGCGCTAGCAGACGAATTTACCGCAAGCTGGGGCACCAACCCAGGCCACCTCCGGGTCTACTGCAATAGTTGCCGAGGTTTGCAAAGCCTTGGAGAGCTAAGATCGCCACTGCTGCCCATCTCAGACCGAGGCCTGAGAACGTAGCCGTGTTTTCAGACATTTAAGTGCCGTTTCTTAAATATTTAAATATTGTGACCTCTAGAAACAGAAACCCAGATCCCGGGCGTCAGTGCCAGGCGCAAGGATCTGCTCTCAGGATGTGCTGACTAGGGAACGATTGGCATAGGGGTTTATGGAGGACAGAGCCTCTGGTTCGAAGACTGGTTTTGACTTCCCAGTCCCGCATGGGTCGGGCGCGTGGTTCTGCTCCCGCCTCCCCACTCCCGCCGTGGTCCTCCGCTTACTCACAGGGGTAGTGGCTGCGCTCGGATTCCAACCAGGTGGCGCAGGGGCCGGGCCCGGGAGCGCGTAGCTCCGGCTCCCGCCTCCGCAGGTGCTGTGCGTCCTGCTCGGGTAAATCCAGGAGGCTGCGCACGGTGAAGCTGAGGCGTCCAGAGGTGGCCATGGCCAAGGAGGGGAAGGAGGCGGGGGCGGGGCAGGCTGGGAACCGAGGGGCGGCCGGGGACGCCGCTGCTACGGGTGGGCGCCAGAGGCGCACGCCATGCGCTGGCTGCCGGGATATTAGCGCGCTTACAGCTGCATCTGTTTATATAAACAGCTCTTCCCACGCGGGATGCTTTGAAAGCCGAGGTCCGGTTCTCCAGGGTGTTAAGTACCTGAATGAGTGCTGGACCAAAGACCGAGCGAGCCCTGAAAGTGCCACCTCCGCCCCCCCCGCCCCGCCCTGTCCCCCGCCCCTCGGCGCCCCGTTACCTCCCAGAGGCGGCAGGAAGCAGCTCTACGGCATTAGTGATTCTGTCTGATTAGCCCAAAGTGGGGACAGATAATGGGGATTGTTACCAATGAATAACATCTTGGGTGGCGAGAGGTGGTCACCACCCGCCCGTCCCAGCCCCAGCTTCCTCCTCCTCCTGGGCTGACACGGGGCCTGGCCCCGCAAGAGCGCCCGCTGGGGTGGGGGCGGCATGGGTGGGTTTATGAGCACCCAGGAATTTATTCCCTGTTTGCTTTATTCCTCGAGCTTGTTTGCTAGAGTGTTCGTTTCCCGCAATTATCCGGAAAGTGATTTACAAGGCGGCGTTAAACTCTGGCGCGCTCTTTTCTCTTTTTGGTTTAGGCCCCTCTAAGGATTGAGAGGCGAGAAATTTCAGGCGGGCACAGAGTTGTGGCCTGGTTCCGCCGGCATCTGGGCCGAGGGTTTTGAAAGCCTCTAGGAACCACACCCCAAACGTTCCTCCCTTCAGGGTGTGCTGGGAAAGGGCTGGCGGTAGTACAGGAGCCCCGGCTCGGCGCCCGTTTCCCCAGACCGGCAAAACGGAGGCGGAATCCGGCCAAGCTGTTCAGGTCCTTAGTGCCACCCTCGTTAGCCCAGCCCCGCCCGGCCGCTGCGGGTCGTGGGCCCAGCCCCCGTGGCCGCGCTCCTCAGAGGCCAGCCCAGGCCCGCTCTAGGGCCCACGGGCGGCGGCGTTTCCCCGGGAGCCCACGAAGGCCTTGCGGCCTCCTTGGCGTCGCCAGACGCTCTGGCGCCACTTGTGAGCTTCAGCTATGTGGCCTCAGTGTCAGGCCCGGTACCGGGGATACAGCCTCTGCCCCAGGGCAGGCCTCCGGCCTGGGCTTCCCGCTCCAGGCAGCTGCCAGGCCTAGTCCGGTACTGGACCGATTGGGAGAATTAGGACTGGGCCCGCCGGGCAGAAAAGACACCCTGCGGGGGTTTTCTGAGATCTAGTTCCCGCAGCCCCACCCGAGCGAATGATCAAGGTAGAAGGCGCAGGGAGTCAGGCGCGGTTACATTTTGTTGGCCCATTGGCTCCGCCGGGGTCCCGCTTCAGTCTAGGGCTCATTGAGGGCACTTTTAGAGGCCTCTCCTCTGCAGCCGTGGCTTGGGTATTTGGTTGCTAAATTCTAGTGAGGGACGCGGCGCTTGGGTGGCCGCACCCGAAATCCTAGCTCCACCTGAGCTTAACTGGGACCTGGCTCCTGTGCAGTGGCCCGGGCTCGCTGGCCCGGTGCACCCTCCCCATCAGCCTCCCCGTCATGCGTGCCCAAGGCGCCCCGGGCTGCGCAGCGCGCTGGGTGGTCGGGCGGAGGCAACCCCAATACAGGCCAACTGCTAGGCCGCGGACAAAGGGGAAATGGAGCTCGACGCCCCGGACCTGTTGGAAGCATTTGTTCCAGTCAAGATTTTGCATTTGTTCAGTCCGAAATAATGCGTGATTGACGCCCGCTCACAAAGCTCTTTAGCACGCCGGGATAAATCGGAGCTTGTCCCGTGTTGTCATGGTTTTCAATGGGGTTCAATGGGATTGGGAGCACGATCGACTCTGCTGGCCGTCTCTCTGCCGCTCCGGCAATAGATTTATTAGTTATGTCTTTTTAAATAAGATTAAATTGAAATGACTTGGCTGTCCTCTTCGAGATGGGCGGCAGAGGGAGCCAGGAGTAGACAGGGGGCGGCAGAAGCCCGAAACTCGGTGCCCACTGCGCCCCAGCACCTAAGCTCCAGCGTCTCGGAGATTGGGCAGGTCACAGACTGATCCAGGGCTTCCTGGACTTCTCTCCAGCTAGAGCCGGATGCCTGGCAACCTCTGCTAGCCCATTTCCCGAGACAGGTGGAAGGAGGGCGTTGGCAAAGACTATCCTAGGGCAGCGTTAGGATAGACTCCCATTTGGGATCTGAACTTCTTGGCTGTGTCAGAGAGAAGGAGCTCTGGCCTAGGAGTCAGTTGGCATCCCAGCCCAGCCCCTACCTAGCTCTAATGGCCTCATCACTCTGAACCTCTCTCCCCACCCCCTTATCTGAAACAGAAGAGAACAGATATGGTAACTTCTAAGGACCCTACCAGTTTTATGATTACATACCTCTGGAATTTTTCTAAATCTATCTTTGTTGAGTTAATCAGCAACTTTGGTCTCCCCCCGGCCCTGCCTTTCTGGTACTCATCCCCAGGACTCTGACTCTACATTCTCCACAATGTTCTAGGAGAGGATGTGCCATCTTCCGAGTTTCCAAAGGACACGCCGTAAGAGTAGGGATGAGGTAGATAACAGTTTTGGAAAGAGAACCAGAGAACCAAGTCAGGAGATGCAAAAGAAGAGTCTTTCCTGGAGTGACTGACCTCTCTTAGCCTTTTAATCTATTTAATATCCTAAGCCCACACTGACATGTAGAAATAAGTAAATGGCACTCTTCAATTCTTAAGAGCTCTTCAGCATCAAATATTTGCTTTTACTCTTAGTATTTGGCTCCCAAAGAAGAGCTATTCCCTCCCCCCGCCCCCCACATCTGCTCTGAGAAGGATCTAGCTCTGGGATTAGCTCCCAATATTACTTCTAGCCTTACCTTCCCTAACCTGGCAACAGTGTTCCTGGGTCCCAGTCTGTGTCCTAAATATCCCAGGAAAACTCTGTACCTCCTGGTTCTAGAAAGCATTGCAACTTCCCTGTGTCATTGTAGTTTCCTCAGTGCCTCTGTAGGCTAGTCCAGTCTTCCTCTCAGCTGGGCTCTGGGACTTTATCTGAATTATCTCTGAAGAGCCAGAGCCTGGGGACTCCAGGAGTTTGTTCCATGTAAACTGTGCCTTCTGAAGTAATGGAGGGAAGGAGGTAAACAGCCAGAATTATTAGTGAAAGATGCTTTCTTTATTGCCTCTTCATATCTGACAGACTCAAAGATGGGGGAGGAGAAAATTATTTTGATATGGGGTCAATTGGAAAAACTAGGCCAGATAATAAATTTTACACATATTGGAAATCTGTATATAAATTGCCTCTGATTCATAAGAGATTCTTAGTATCACAAGTAAACCATCCAACTGAATATCCTTCCTAGATTTTAAGATATTGCTTGGTGTTCTGGACATTTGAACTTATTTTGCACCTCAACATAGCTTGGGAATATTATTATTTAATTAGATAAGTATTTGTTTCTCTGTAATTGGATGTAGTGCATCTCAATCCTAATAAGAGTTTTTAATCATTAGGCATCTGCGCTATAGTGAATATATTTAAGCAGTCTGCATTAATCGCCTTTTCAAAAGTATTATCCAAAATGATCATCACTGCTGCGTGCTTAAGAATTTAAGACTAGAAAATTCTGAAATAAAACTAAAGTATCTTGATTTTTAAAAAATGATTGCATCTGGGTGCCTGGGTGGCTCAGTTGGTTAAGCGACTGCCTTCTGCTCAGGTCATGATCCTGGAGTCCCAGGATCGAGTCCCACATCGGGCTCCCTGCTCAGCAGGGAGTCTGCCTCTCTCTCTGACCCTCCCCCCTCTCATGCTCTCTATCTCATTCTCTCTCTCAAATAAATAAATAAAATCTTTAAAAAAAAATGATTGCATCTATATCTTGCATTCTGTTTTTAAATCCTTCCATTTTGGTTAAGTGTTTCACAAAATCCTGCAAATCTATACAGTATTGAAGAGAGGCAACATTGCAAATTCCCCTTGATAGATGGAGGGCCCTCAACTGCCAGGACATTTTTCTTTGCCTCATAGCAACTGCTCTCCCCTTTTTATCAGTATTCTGGTTAAAATAGCAAAAGGAAAAATAAAAATGGGCTTTTGATACCTCTAAGAAGAAGTGAATGATCTTGATCAGACTTAGGACAGAAAGAAAAAGCAGCATTTAAAATCAGACTTCTTTGCCTTTCCTTCTGAAACCTAGTTGCCATGAATAAGTAAACATTTCCCTTTTAATAGCTAATAATCAATTGCTTGGCGGTGGTCCAGGCCTCGCTGCAACTCATTCTTAGTTGTACTGATGATATATACATACAGGACAAGGAACGACAATTACTTTCAGACTGGGGATTTAGTACATCTTTGAAATGGGCTTCAGATTTTATTGCTTAATGTCAAACAACAAGATTTGAAAGGTCCCATCTTAAGTTCCTTGAAATATTGACTTTCCAGGGACTTTTTGTTGTCATTGTTGATTTCTAGCAGAAAAATTTTTCTCTTCTACTGTGTTTATCTAGTTGTTTAGATATATAATGAAAAAAATGTAGGGAGTAATATGGTTCAGTGAATTAAAAAGTAAAGGTATTTAATGAAATATCTATAGTCTCTAGTTCCTAAAGAGCCAACAAATAACTTAAAAAAATTTTAAACTAGTTTATTAAGTATTTCTGGTCTTTCCCATACTTTACAATGGTATAATATAATGCTAGCATGGAATGTAAGCTGTCCGAATAGAAATAATAACACACCTTGGAGAGGGTGACAAATCTTATTTGTTCAGAGCGGAACTTCTTCATTTTTGTCTAATCTTTTTTTCAAGATGCTACTTTATACTCCTCCTTTGCTTGACTGAAACAGATACAGTTTATATATAACAGTATCCTAGTTGATGTTTACACAATAAAGGTCCAGGCCCTAAGTCACATTTAATGTCACATACAGACACTGACAGAGTAGACTGACCCCAGGAACATATTTTGTGAGATTTGCCCTAACACCTCACATAGGCCTGCCTGCAGTGCACGCTTATAACCACCAGCACTTCATTTCAAATTAGGTATTTTTTCTTACCCAAGCATTATAACAAGGCCTCTTTTTTTTTTTATATATATATACCTTTACTTTGAGTTAACTTTGGGATTTTAAAAGGGTTGTATTATTAAATGAGATATTATTCTGTCTTATTTGGCAGCAGTTTAAG